CATCTGAAACAAACTAAGCTACCTTTCAGCTAGTTTGGGTATCATCAATCCCAAAATGTTCTGGAAAGGCATATCCAAATTCATCCCCTCTTCTACTGGTCCTTTCCAACCCACTTTACCATCACCCTCTTACACACTAATGAACATATCTCTCCAAAACCGCCATGCACTGATTCCACCTCTGGGAATATTGTCCCCCTCTGTCAGCATCACCTGGAGAGCTCCTGATTCCTCACACCAGGCTTGGGAACCCTCTTCTCCACAAAGCTTCTCCATACTCCTAGCTAGCACAGGTGATTAATTTCCTGCCATAACACTACCTCATTAACTTACAGTTGTCCATTTGCCTGGCCTCTTTCAGAGATAAAATAATAGCCATTTTCCCTAGTCATCCTCACAGAGACCTGACAGGCAGTCGTATCTCATTAATCCTCACAATATCCTAAGTCCCATTGACTGATAAGGAAGCTAAGACACAAAAGAAGGTAAAGTCATTTATCCCAAACCTCACACCGAACTAAGCAGCTTAGCTAGGATGGAATCCAAAAAGTCTAACTCCAAAGTGTGAACTCAGTGTCCACCAATGCTCTTATCCTCTATGGTCCGGGACCCCTCTAGGGCAGGTACAGATCCCCAGCTAGTACTCAGTGCCCCACATGCATCCTAAGGAACATCCGATATTGATTCCAAAAAGATGGAGCTACTGCTTATCACACAATGGGCTCTGGGGTTGTATAATGAGTTCCAGCTAGGGGCTCAAACTACAGGGAAATCACAGATGGTCAGATCCCCTAGGTGGGTAAAGATTCCCTAGGAGATATAAGAAGAGTAGCAAAGCCCAAGATGGAATAAGTCACCAGCTAGTCTCCTCCCCACACTGCCTGCCTTGCTCTACCTGAGCAGGGAAAACCCTGGTTTAGCAAAAACTAAACCAACTTCTGGCCATAGCTTTGAGCCTGATCTCACCGCACACTGAGTCTTAACCAGTGGGGAAACACTGGGATCCTCATGCTGATTCCTGGGCACTGCTATCTCATTGTATGTCCACATAGGATGTAGGCACTATGACCTACCTTACCCCCGTCACTGCCACTATTACTCCCGTTACACACACACTGCCTTACCCAAATAGGGAGACAACGGCCTGATGAGGTAAGAGAACTCCTTAGCTGAGAGCCTCCAAAGCCATCCTAGGGACGACCACTGCAGGTGTGCTTAAAGAGTCTGCCTTCACCAGGGCCAGATCAGTCAAGGTGCAGACTGTTCAGCAGGTACCCAGTGGTCATAAATTCCTCCAGGGGGACTTTTCACCTCTTGTCTTTGCTTGTGGATAGAGTGGAGGGGCACCAGCAAGGAGACCTCCAGGGTCAGGGTGGATCTCAGGATAGACCCCCAGCCTGCCGCCCCTTCAGGAGCCCACTCACCTAGTTCTCTACACAAACTGTTATCCATTAACATCCAATTATCCCTCGGTCCGAGCCATTAATTATAAATCAGCCACTAATTGGGGTAATTAGCCCCCTGCAGGCTAATGGGCCGAGACTGAGGAAGGTCTTTTAGCCTACAGTTCTCGATTTTCCGTGGTCTGGAATTATTGGAGGTGCAGAGAAATCAGGCAGCGGGCTGGAATGGATTTCAATAATAATAATAATAATAATAATAATGCAAAATGTGGCAAGAGGATGAAAAGAAGATGGACAAGACCAGGTTTCGTTTGTTGTTTCGCAAATCCTGTTGATTCTAGTGTATGGGCTAAGGGACAGGCAGGGAGAGGCCGAGGGATCTGACCATAGACTCTGAGAATTGGGGTGATTACTTGATTCCCTGTTTCCTCTGAGGCAGAGGCAGCTAGGACGCCGCAGACGGAGGCCGAGGGGACTTGGGAGTCCCTCAGACGAGGCCGGGGGACAGGTTGAATCGGCCCGCTGACTTCCCCCTGGCCGGGAGGCCCGTAGAGAAGAGCTGGGCTGCCTTGCGGGTCGTCCAGACTCGGAAGGTGGCCGGCCTGGACACAGGGACTGTGGAGTCCTCTGTGGACCCGGTGGTCCTGGCCCAAGTCAGGGCCTCCGGGCAGCTAGAGCCTCCGGGACCTGTGGCGCGGGTTCGGAGCGCGCAGCCCCGCGTGGCACACCACAGACCCGTGACGGATGGACCCAGTGGGGGCACGAGATCCAGAGAGGTCCGGTGACCTTGGGGCACACAGAAGCGGGGCGTGGCGGCGGTAGATCGGCCGGAAGCAGTGACGGCGTCCAGTCAAGGCGCTTAGGTCTGGCGATCCTGGATCCAGAGGACTCCTGTCCCCTCGCTGGCGGAAACCGAGCTAAAGTCCAAGCCACTGAATGTGGGCTGGGTGGAGTGAGGTGTGGGGGGGGGATATCTGATCCCCTGAGACTGAATCAAATACGTGTGAAGAACCAACAGCGACCGAACCAAAAGAGCGGCCATCGGACCGCGGATGGCCCAGTTCGATGCCCTTCTTACAGAAGGGGAAACTGAGACCCGCTCAAGGTCGGGGAGGAGCGGTGCAGGAGGAACAGAGCCCCACCCGAAGCTCACCGCCCCGCAGTACCCCTCCCTCCCTCGCCCCGCTCGCCCGCTTTGTAATGGGCTTTGGCGGGCGGCGGCGGCGTCGCCCGAGGCCTTGATTAGATATTTATTGCTGTCATTTACATGGGCACCGCGGGGCGGCCGAGCGGGACCGTGGGGAAGGGACTGCGGCTGGAGGGGGGGTAGGGAACGCGGGGGAGGTAGAGAATTCTCGGGCGAGGACCGGAGACGCGGCCCCGAAAGTGAGCCGGGAGACCCCCAGAAAGAGGCGGTGATGGGGAGCTCCGAGGTGGAGGCGAGGGAGTGGGCCGCCGGGCCTGGCGCTGCCTGGGGCGAGTGCGCAACGCCGGGCTGTCCGTCCTCGCTTCCCCGAGCCTTGCACGCGTTATCTGCGTGTGGAGAGCGAAGGGTCTGCGTGTGAGCTGAAATTGTGTGCAACGCGCCTATCCAAGAGGTTCTGTGTGTGTGCCCAGCAGATCTGCCAGTTCGACGTCTCCTCTGAGCGTTGTGTACCCCATAGCCCAGGTGACTCTAAGCACTGGGTATGACTCCGGGCGGCTATCAGGCCGGAGTGTAGCTGTCACCCCGGACTGCACAGCTGGCGGACGTGGGCGCGGAGGAAGGCAGTACTGCCTTAGTTCAGAGTTGGAGCTTTTGTCTCTGGGTCTGGTTCTCCCTCCTTCCACTCAAAACCCACGGGCTGGCCTGGGTCTGTTACTGTCTTAGTGTATTCCCTAGAATCCCTGTCCTCCACAAAGCCGATAGCAGGAGTCCGGATCGATTCCTACTCGGAGTTCTGCACAGCATTTCTGGCCAACCGCAAGGTGGAAACTTTGTTTCCAGTTCAAGATCCCTGTGTGCCTGAGTGAGGGTGCAGACCAGGTGCTAAAGCAAGTATGTGGTTATTTCCACGGGAGAAACGGCTCCAACTTCGGACCACAGGGGATCTTGCTATGAAGTAGAGCTACGGAGGGTGAAGGTTTCCCTAAAAACTCACCCTTGAAACTGACCCTCGAGCCCGCCATCTGAAATCGCCCATCTAGAGGCCGCGATTGCTGGCTTTCGCTGTGGCCTTCGCCCGGGGCGGGTTCCACTCCTCCGCACCTTTGCCCTTCGGTTTGGCGAGGGTCTCCAAGGCCGCCATCAGCTTCCTGCGTCCTTGCAAGAGTCCACACCCCTAGGATCTGAGCGGGTGGGGTAAGCTGTTCGTCCCCCAAACCCTGAGTAACGACTTCTTATCCAAAGTCTATGTCTGCCTCAGCCATTGAGGAGAGAAATTTGAGCCAATTATCCGGATAATTTGCACTCACTAGGCAACAAATTCGATTCCCACCCCCACCCCCACGGCCTACATGCATCACAGTTAGTTCGGAGAGAGGGTATATAGGACTAAATTCACCGATCCTCGGGTCTTTCCCTTTTTGAGAACTGGGGGGGGTGGATGGGGGGGGGTGAAGAGAGAAGCGCAAATCCTGCAAAACTGACAACCCTCACTCCAACGCCACCTAAAACTAATAGGCCGCAGAACTTTCTAATAGGATGCCAGGCGGAGCCAAACCCGCCTGCAGCGCACGGCTCCGCAGCAGTGGAGCAGGGCAGGACACTTCTCCACTCTCACCAAGACGCACTGGAAGCTTGCACAATTTCCGCAGTGGTGGCGGAACCTCAGCGGTTCCAACGGCCTCCTTTCCCCCCAAGGCCCCATCCAGTCAGTAAAGCCCTCTGCTCTTCCGATCCCAAACCCTAACCATAATCAGAAAACCAGCAACAATCCCAGCCTGCTGCTGGACCCCCAAGGGTTTTTCCTAAAACGAAAACAAAACAAAACCTTCCACGCTCCCGCCCTGCCCCCCCACGCCGCCCCGCAAACCCCACTAAAGCTACGCGGGAGGCCCCACGGGTTCCCAGCTTCGAGAGATTCCAAACTCAGAAACGGCGGAAAGGCCACGGACCTGGTTACCATACGCTGAATCCAGGATTCCCTTCTTCGACAAAACGCAAATCTGAGAAGCCCATCGCCCTCCCCGCTCCCAGAGGGAGTTCCATCGGAATGCAGAAAAAGACGGGGGGCCCCCAGACTCCGTGGGAATTTGGGGAGGGGGGGAGAGGTTTCTCACAAGCCCTCTAAACGCACTATCGGGAACACTGCGGGGCCCCTGGCGCAGTCTCGGAACTTGAGACTCCAAAGTTCAGTCAGCTTGCCCAGGACCCCGCACGGCCCATCAGGGCCCCTGGCCCGTCGCCATCCAGAGCTGGGTTAGGGCCAACGCGGTGGGAGGCTCAGAGGAGGAGCGACCGTGGCGGTCCCCCCCCCGCCCCCAGCCCTTGGCTTCCTGTCCCCAACCTCCACGGGCGCAGCGCCCTGGGCTGGCCCCAGACTTCGTTCCCCGCCAGAGTTCACCCGACCCGAGCCAGCTGAGGTGGAAGAGAGGGAAAACGAATTCCAGGCCCCTATGGCCGCGGCGCCCCCAAACACCTACCTGGAGGACCCTAGCCCGAAGCTGCGTCTAGGAGGGCAGAGGCTAAGCGGGGGCCGAACCAGCCCCACATCCCCACCACCCTCGGCCGGAAACTCGCGTGATCGCGATCCCAGGAGACGAGGCGCCCTCGGTGGCGGTAGTTTGGACGGGATCGCGCGGCCGAGACCACAGCTGGATCTCCAGCGAAGCCTCGGACGGGCGGGCGTCGCGGGGTCCTGGAGGACCAGGGGAGCTGGGGAGGCGTGGGCGCCCCCCCACTCCCGTCGCCAGGACCCGGGTCCCCGGCCGCGCCCCCGGCCCAGCGCCAGCCGCGGGCTCCACGACGCCCGGGGCCGCATCTGCTCTGCATTATCCGGGCCACCTCCCCCCCCCGCCCCGCACACACACCCTCCGCACCCACCATCCCCTTCCAAACTGAGAAGGATTTGTCTCCGCTTAATATCCAAACCTTTTTTGTATTTATTTTTTTTCAGGGGCGAAGTAATATCTTCCAAATGAGGCAAAACCGTGACGGATCCGAAGCGTTCTCTGCGGGTGCCTGCGTCTCCGCGGGGCCGAGGCTTCCGTCTCCGCCTCGGCGCAGTTGGGCCCACCACTCGCTCTCCTCAGTCTGCCTCGGAGTTTCCAGCTCTGCCTCTTTCCGTCTAGCCGGGTGTCTAGCTGTCTGACTCGGTGTTCAGCCCTGGCTGTAGCTCCCTCCGTCTCCCCCACATCTTTCTGGCTTCCTCTGCCCCTGCGCTGTCTGTCTGGCTCTCCAAGTCTCGGCGTCCCGCCCTTCCCCCCCACACCCGCCCCCAGCAAACTTTCCGATCTTCCCAGTGGGTCCCCGACTACCGGACAGTAGGAGGGGGAGACGGTCCCGGGAGCTCAGGGCCCGCGCGTCCTCCCCGCCCCGGCGGTCCCCGCGCCCCTCCCGGCTCCGTTCCGCCAGCCCCGCCCCTCTCGCACCTGGTCTCCCCGGCCCGCGCCGCCGCCGCCGCTGCCACCTACGCGCGCCGCAGCCGGGGCTGGAGTTTTAAACCTCGTTTCCCGGGCGCCCGGCTCGGGCCCGCGCGCTCCCTAATGGCCCCTGTGGCTGCCAATCACGCGCTGCCCCCGCCTCCGCCCCCGCCCCCGTCCCCCCAGCGGGTGCTACAGCGCAGCTCTCCTCCTAGGCCAAAGGGATCCGACGGTCAGTCAGTAGGTCTGTGGGCCCAGCCTGCGCCCATCACCTCTAACCCCGCACCTCCGTCCATCATTACTAGCTCCCGCTCCCCGGATCTCTGGTTTTCCGAGACCCCCAGAAGACACAGACAGACCCCTGAGATGTTGAGAGGTGCTAGGAGATGCCCCATTCCCTTGCCTTCCCCAGAGCTTGACCCCTGGGCCATTGTGGCGGTGGTGTGAGGGCGCCCGGTATGACTCCCACCTCCCACTGTCCCTGCAAGGTGGGCACTGGGATGCGCGAGCACACAAACACACATTCGACCGGACTGCTACACTGTCACCTCTGGCGCCACCGCACCCCACAAATCCGCACTCAGACCTCGCCTCGCCTTCTACACTCTGCCCGAGTTGGGTGATGCTCCTAGCAAGCCGCTCACCTCTCTGGCTGCAGGATGCTCCTTGGAGAGGCTGTAGGGCCGAGCGCACGGCTTTATACACACCACACACCTGTCGTGGCAAGAAGGAGAACAGAGACAGGGCTGGCTCACGTGGAGAAGATTCGGAGCTGGGCTGCTCTGCCTTCTTGCCCGCGTCCTGCTGGGCGCAACTGGTTCACTGGAAGAGGACGTTCTGGAGACCACTCTGGGGCGAGCGAGCAAGCCAGGCCTGGCCTTTCAAAAGGTGTGTGCCGTGGGGGCAGGTTAGCCCCCACACCGCTGGCAGGTGCCGGGGGCTACTCAGCGTGTGGAGGCACTGGGAGGCAGTGGATGTGATTGTGTGGATGTGGTGGGAGAGGCTCTTGCCAAATGGGTGAGGCTTATGGGGTGTGTGCCAGGTGTCCCTGTGTGTCTGGGACTTTGTATATCCAGCCTTTGGCCTCAGTGGCTGTGACTGGGAACTACATGTGGAGTGTGTCTTTGTCACTGGTGCTCTGGTGATCCCCAGTCTCTCTGTAATTGTGGGGTTTCCTTTGTGCGTTTGTAATGAATCCTGGTGCAGTTTCAAGCTCAAGGATAATTGTAATCCGGGTGCCTCAACACAGACTTGGCACCGTCTTAACACTTGTGACTAGAGAAGCTGGACCCTTGGTTCTGGCACCTCTCTGATCTATCAGTGAAGCTCCAGGTCCAACTCGCAGGAGCCACACTGTTTCCTGGTGGCCAAAAAATGGAGAAGAGGGGAGGGTTGGCTGGCCATACTGCCAGGGGGTCAGGAAATTTGGCTTTGGCAGGGTAGAAGGAGCCACCAGCAGATTTGAGGGGCAGGTGGATCTTCAGCCATTTTGGGCTGGACACCTGGGGAAGGGGAATAGTCTGGGGGGGGGGACAGAAAGAAAAGGAGGGTGGAGGAGGGGGGCATAAGAGGATTAGGCTGCTTAGACCCTTCTCTCCCACCAGGATCCCCCACCCCCACCACAACACTCCAGAAAAGATTTCTTCTGCCAAAGCAAAACCGTTTAGGCTCGATTTAAAGGGACAAGAAAGGCGGAGGCGGGGGCTTTAAATAACCTTTTAATTTCTCTTTAGGGATCTGGGCCTGGTGTAGGAGGGGAGAGGAGGGAGGGGAGTGAAGTCTGCCTCTTTGGCTTAGATCATCAAGACTGCTGCTGGAGCTCCACACAAACAGAGGAAATGGTGGGAAGGACATTGCACCTCCAACCAGCAGACCATTTTTCTCGAGAGAACGGTAGCCCTGTAAACACATAAGCAGCCATTCACTTACATACAGAGACAAGGGCACAGGTGCACAGTGAGAGGGGTCTCATATAGATAGAGATGCAAATGGAGAGGAGGAGCTCTAAAATCCTTTCTATTGTAACACAGAAGTCACTCCCTTCCTCTAGTTATTGCTACCTGGTAGTGCCAGGAAGGTTTGCCCAAAAGTGTCCCCCACAAGAATTGGGCTCCTACTGGGGCTTCCCCTCCAGTAGAAACAAGTATCATCTTTCTTTGCCAAGAGACCCCGTCTACTCATTCTTCCCTTGCTCCCCATTTCAAGCAGAACAGGGGCAGCTGGGCAGGCCAAAGGGTGGTGACCCCTGGACTTGAGTGGACTAGATTTTCAAAGCCTGGGAACCAGATGGTTGAGGATAACACAGGTTCTGTTGGCTGGCAGAGGACTATGGAGGACTGCAGATGGTGGGTATAGATCCCAACAGGCACCTGCTCATGAAAGGAACTTGTCTGTACTACAGAGCCCAGGTAGGGAAACTTTTGTTTGCCTCTGATCCCAGGCTGCCAAGTTCCCCAGCAGTGCCCACTGACCCAGGACTGGAGGTGGTGGCTTCATAAGACAGATTTCCCAACACTTGGAGAAGCCCATACTACTTACCTTCAAAGGGACACACAGGCCTTTTTATATAAGAACACCACTGACCCCAAGAACTGATGTCACAAAGTCACATTCCCTTCTCCCTGGCTTCTACTGACATAGCTGCCTAGGGCTGGAGCTCTGGGTGGATGCGGATTCCTGGGGTGGGAGGGAGTGCAAAATCACTAACAAACTCAATTGCTGGAATGGAAAGTTGTGATGGAAAAGAGGAGGACAGGGAAAAGGAACACATCCTTTAGGAAGGCCTGGAGAGTGGTAGGAAGCCTGGTGTCCCACAATGTGGGTAGGTTTTACTAGCTAACAAAACCACTTTGGACCCGGATGGCTCATGCCTGTAATCTAGCTATTCAGAAGGCTAAGATCTGAGTTTCACAGTTTGAAGCCAGTCTGGATAGGAAAGACTCTTTAATTAACCACCAAAAAGCCAGAAGTGTAGCTGTGTCTCCAGTGGTAGAGTGCTAGCATTGAGCACAAAGGCTCAGGGACAGTGTCCAGGCCCTGAGTTCAAGCCCCAGGATGGGTTCGCACATGTGCGCTCCCCGCCCCCCGCTTCAAAAATGCCACTGTCTAGACAGGACTAAGAGATGGAAATGGTCCAACAGCTCCAAGGAGCCTTCCCACACACCCACCCCAGGCTGTAGTGATACCTTAAAAGAGTTTAAGAAAAGGACATCCCCAGAGGAACAGGGGACCTGCCCTAAACAGACTCTCTTGATCCCCTGGGGGCAGCTCATCCCAGCAGGTGGTGTATTTCTGAATGTGCTTACACGTTGGCTGAAATTCATTATCCTATGTTATATGTTTGTGAGTATATACACATATATTCCTGTATCTGTGTATCATGTGATATATAATCACATTTAAATAAGTACATATGTGAGTGCAAGCTGTGCTTATGTGGATTGCATTGATAAATTCCTAGGTGTGCATGTATATGTGTGCGCACATTGGGGGGCAGGGTTCTAAATGACCAAGGCGAGTGGTCAAAGGAAGAGCTAATTTAGAAACTTGGGAACACCAGATGTTCACAGGTTTCCATTTGGCTTGGTAACTCCAAGAACTCTGAGTCCCATCTGTCTTTGCTGAAAGACCTAGAAAATGGGGGACTGAACCCACCTAAGGTCTCTGAGGATGCTCCAGCCCTGCCATCTCTGGTGCAGTTTAGGACAGCAACACCAAACCCAAATCTTCTACCCACCCACTCCATTGGCACATACATATACACTCAGAAGGAGAATTCCAGCTTTCTCTGTTGCTCCCTGCACCTGGGTTGGGACGTGGGTTAGGGGGAAGAACGGGTACTTCCAGGTTGCACCTTCTTCTTGCCCTGATGGCCAAAGATCCCTCAAAAAGCCAGAATACCAGGCCGACCACAGGTGAACAGCCAGGACTCTCCGGATCCGAGGAGACTAGGACTCTGTGTTCAGTGTGCAAAGGAGCCCAGATTTTGAGAGCCAGGGTCCATCCAGGTTCAGACTGGGATGCTTCTCCCCCCTTCACCACCACCCTCCTCTTGAGCCCGCTCCCTCCCCCACGACTGGCACACCACGGGGCAGTGGCTGGGTGGTGGACGGCTTAGAGCTAATTCTCGAGTTAATAGCGGTGGCGGAGGCCCCCTGCGGCCCCCTCCACCGCCCACCCCTAGCTCCAGGCCGGGCCTCGGGCCGCCCGCATCTGCGCCGTCCATGGCGATTCATCATCTTGATCCATGGCGCGCGCTGACGGCGGCCCTGGCCGCGCTGACAAGACTAACAAAGCAATTTGCCACGAGCCATCTCCTGGACAGGTTATTAGCGCGCGGCCGCCGCTTAAAGAGCCCTCCCCACCCCCTCACCCCACTCCCAATCCCAGCGCAGGGCAGCTACCTGCTTTCCCCCTCCCTCCAATAGACTACCCGCAGTCCTGACTCCAAAATATGCTCTTCCCCCGCACCCCCCCCAACACACAGCAGCACACCCTGTTAGATGGCGGTGCATTCCTTCCAACTTGAGCTCAAGATGCTACCTTCCTCCACCACCACCCCTTCCAAGTCCTCCCTGGGACCCCTACACTCCTCAACCCTCCCCTCAACACTACCTGCCTCCTCTGGAAGTTCTTATACCCAGCCACTCTCCCTAATTCTACTCCAGCTCTCACCATGGATTGGCTCACCTCTATTTGCTCTCAGTTTGGGGAGGGGTCGGGGAGGGGGGGGTGCCTCTGGTTATACCTTTAAGCATACCAAGTTTCTTCTGACCATTTTACCCCCAGGTAATCTTGCTACAGGAAGGGGTGGGTGGCTTTCCATTGCATTCATGGGGTGCCAGGTGGGGGCTGTGGAGCACACCCTTCTCCGTGGATTATGGAAGACTAAGAAAGGCACCGAGGGGAAGAATGCAGGACACTCTGGCTTCTCCAAGACTCCCCTGACCAGAGACATGGTGAACTTAATGGGCCTTCTCTAAGGGGGGGCCATGATGCCAGGCCTCCCCTTGCCTCAGACAAACAGATCTGCCTTGCCTTGCCTGTCCTTCCCTTCTCTTCCTTTCTCTTTCCTTCCTTTTTTCTTCTCTTCCCTTCCCTTCCCTTTCCTCCTCTCTCCTTCCCTTTCCTTCCCTTCCTTCTCTTCCCTTCTCCCCCTCCCCAGTGACTTGCTCTGGTCCATACATCAAGTCAGAGCATAGGAGATATGGGCACCAGGTATGTGGTACCCAGGTGTGGGCTTCATCTTTGACTATACCCCAGGAAGAAATTAAAGGAGGCCAAGAGACCAGGGTACTTCCACTAAGCTACTCACCTCCTCCAGTAGCGGTGGGTGGGTAGATGTCTGATGGGCTTGTTTGGCTGGATCTATCAGGAGAGAAGAGTGTGGTAGATATTCCAGACCTCAAACCAGAGTGACTATTCAGCCATTTGAGACAGAAGACCAA